CAACTAATATCTGAGACTGGTTTGGAATTTAAACGTTGGCTTTATGCCCAGTCTCTGCATAAATACTTGGTTTCCAGAGACCAAGTTACTGGATGCTGAACTCAAACCTCAGAGTTTCTTAAATGGCTTTTTAAAACTCTAATACATGCTCCTGAGAGTGGAAAATCAGATCTTTTCCCTCAAGAATCTGCACATAAAATTTATAACTCAATCCCTGCATTAAGCATAGACTGGGAAGGCTATCCAACCACAAAACATGTGCTCTTTCAATTCAATATGATTTTCCTTTGGAATTCAGACATGGCTTCCTCAATTATTTTGAAATATCCTAAATAATTAATTACTAATACAGATAATTGCTGCTGGTACCACTTTTTACTGTTGTGATAATTTAAGAGGAAATAAAATAAACAAAAATCTAGCGGTTAACTGCACTTTTTAAAAAGATTTATTATTCTTTTTTGTGGGTATACACCGTCAGATCAGATCTGACTGGTACAGGAGGTGACTGCCCCTCCTTCTCTAGCAGAGCATCTGGTGGATTTGAACAGTGTACCTCTGGGATTGCAGTACAGCTTCTTGCCACTAGGCCACCAGAGCTCCCTGGTTAACTATAATTAGAGTAATTTTCACTCATTACCTTGAGTAGGAAACAATTTCAATATTAAGAAATATTTCCTTTCTGAATCTCAAAATTTTAAGAATATAAATTAAGATCCTTGAATATAATCTCAAATTATGTAAGATCACCACGCAAGGAATATAGAAAAATGAGCAGGGGCTGTCAAAATTTTTGTTCTAAAAGGTAAACATTTCACAAGGCTTTAAAATATTGACTGGAAACAGAATGACAAAATCAACACAGTATCAAGTTAAATTTATAAACTAAATGTACAGCACTACCTCATTTATATTCTTGATTACAAGAAAACAATCTATAATCCTTCCTAATTTATTATTATTATTATCTAAGTTTTCAGAATCTTAATACTTAAAGCCAAAAGTGGGATGAGTTTTACTAAACTCTCTTAAAGAACAACATAAACTGCTACCATATGCCCAGCATGAATGCATTTTAAGCAGAACAATAAAGGCCTTTACATAGCTTTTTTAAAAATTTCTTCTGCTAGTATCATAATTTTATAGGAAACTAAGTCTTTACGAGATAAAAGAATCTGCTAAGATTAGAGTCAGGGATAAGAACAGTGGTCTGTTCAACTCATGAATCCAAACATTTAACCACTATGCAGTGTGGCCTCTCACAAAGTAAGTCTCAGGACATGCTTGGTCTTTGGTCCTGATATAGCAGATAAAAAGCAGTAGGGACACTTTCCAAACATAATGTGCCTTTCAAAGGAAAAGCTCCTCCTAACAACACACCCAAGGTATGTCTTGGAGGTGTATATATATGTACACACACACACACACACACATACATTCATTACACTATTTCAAACCAGCGAACAATATATAAACATGCTTACATGCAAGCTATGAAAGTATCAATTTATATTCTTATTTGGTCACCATTGAGTAACAAAGAAGATCCCTCACACACCTTCCACAGTCTCTTGTACGTGTGCTTTCCCACAGTCACAGTGCCAAACACACATTCTTTCTCCCTTATCCCAGAATTGGCATAATCCATAGAATCACACTCACTCTCCATTTTATAAACAGTGCATTGTGAGATAACTCTTGATTGTCTCAGTACTCAATATGAATACCAAATATCCCACAGACAGCCAAAAGAACAAATAGATACATCTTGGAGAAAACGCAGCCATAATGCTTCCTGAAAGCAAAGATGACAAGCTTTGTCTCACATACTTGAGGTATATTGTTAGAAGTTATTCCTTGAAAAAAGGCATTATAAAACAACTATGATATATCATCTCACCCCAGTAAGAATAGCAACATTTAACATAACAGCAAACATCAAATGCTGGCGAGGTTGTGAAGAAACCAGAACCCTTATTCACTGTTGGTGGGAGTGTAAAATGGTGCAACCACTATGGAAGGCTGTATAGTGCTGTCTCAATAAGTTGCAAATAGAGATACCATTTGACCCAGTAATTCCACTACTGGGAATACTAAAGAAACAATAACTGCCACCCAAGCAGATATATGCACACCCATGTTTTCATTGAGGCTTTGTTCACAATAGCAAAGAGCTAGAAACAACCCAAGTGCTCACCAACAAATGAATGGGTAGAGAAGCTCTGGCATAACTGTCACACAATGGAATACTATGCAGCACTGGAAAACAAGGAACTCATGGAATATTATACAAAATAGGTGACCCTGGAGAACATTATGCTGAGTGAAATAGCTCAGTCACAAAAGGAGAAATACTGCATAGGGCCACTGTTGTAAAACGGGAGTGGCATCAGGGTTGAGGGAAGACAGAGAAGGAGGGGATGAATATGTATACTGCATTGAAACAGATGAGGGAGAGAACTGTTTAAAAGGTATACGTGATTGGGTATTATTGTCATGACTGGAGTCCAAAATGAAGTTTGCACAGTGGAGTGGACTTGAGGGGAGGGATTGCATAACAATGAAAGAGTTTTTCTTTTACTTTTCAAGGAGAAGAGTGAATTTGGGGGGAGGGGGTGGGCAGGGAGAAATGTGCAACAGTGAATGAATGGAAATCTTCAGTCTCTGTAAACTTTCATTAAAAATTAACAAAAAAAGAAAAAGTACATCATTCTTGGAAAGTTGAAGGCTTGGCAAATAAGAAAGGCCCTTAACAAGATGAACTGACACAGTGACTAGAGCAATGGGTGCAAATATGTCAGAAACAATGCAGATGACACTGGATAGGACAGGGCTCAGATCTGTTGGTCATAGGGTTGCTATGAGTCGTACCCAACTTGACAATACTTAACAACAATAACAAAATAGTGCTGAGGGCTTCGCACTGGCAAACTAAAGGTGATTATTTCAAATCCACTAGCAGCTCTAAGGAAGAAAGATGTGCAACCTCTGACTGTGTGATTTTACAACCTCTGATAACCCACTGGAGGATCTGTGATTTAACCATAATGCAAGTATTAGGGAAATAACAGTTTACAATTCAGACTCAGGAAGATTTAGGATATAGTTCTTTGATAAGGACAGTTTCTTTTCAGTTGTGACCATAGGCAAACCTCTCTCTGGCCTTTGGCTTCTTGTCCTCTTGGTCTGGTTCTGTTCTGCCAATATGTGTCCACATGGCCTCCAGTCTGCCTGGAGGCCTTCTATTCAAAAGCATTCAGCTCATATGTGCTGTGTGTTGTTGGCAAACCCAGCTCCACTAACAAGCATCTGCAGACAACCCACTCTGCCCCAAAACCTCCTGCCCAAAGCTGTTCCATGTATCAGCATGCCCACTGTACTATCTTCTGCTGGTCTCCTAAGTTTGCTACTGTTGTTTCTCTGATGCTGCTTCTAATCATCTTGCATTGTGTGTCATTTTCAATGTTACAACTCTCTCTGTCTCATGGGTCAAGGAGGTTTTTGGCATGAAAACACTGGGTCCTATGCTCGCTCTTCTTTCTCAATGGTAGTGAGGTTCCCTTTGGCTCTTTTTTCTAGCCCACCTCTCAGTAGGGTTCTGTATACCATATTTGTATGGTTTCACCTCTACAAAGGCTCCATGCACCTGATTCATATGAGGAGAAAGTGTTACAGATCCCTTGGTGAGTCACAAGTAACTTATTTTCATATTCCCACCCAAACATTTTGTAAGAACCGCAAAACCATGGTGAGAAGGGTCATATAAAAGCGATTTATTACTTTCCTCATAACACTGTGAGAAATCATAGTTTCTCATAACACAGTGTTGTAAGAATTCTCACATTCCAAGAGAAAGCGTAACATGTAAATACGGGATCATATGCAGTTAGTCATCTTTAATAGTTTGATAAAGTCAATACAAGCTTATATTGCCCTAGGGGCCAAATCTTGTAGTATTTTATTTCAATGTGGAGCGCTAGCTTGCTGACTGTACAGGCAAATAACACGAGCTGAGCATTGGACTACATAAACAATATTTACTAGCAGCAAGGATAGTGATTTGCATTTTTTCTTGGTGTTAAAGATCATTACATATATTTAACATCTCAGTTTATTTATCCAGCATCCAAGGAGCACTTATCACACTTCTTTCTAAAGGAGCAAATGGTTAAGTAAGTATGCAGCTGCTAACTAAAAAGCTGGCAGTTCAGGTTTACCCTGAACCACAAAAGAAAGGCATGAGATCTACTTTTGAAAAATCAGCCACAGAAAATTCCATGGAGCACAGCTACACTCTGTATATGTATGTGCTGAATAAATAAATTATTCCTATTACATCTTGTTACTCAGTATCCTCTATGTGCATGGCATGAGATCTCTGGGGTTGGTGCCCATCCAATTCCAATGATGCTTACATTGCACACAAAACCATAAAACTTCCCCTGACTCACAAAACAGCAATTCATTGGGCCACATGGTTTCTCAAAGTTTCTGTTCACACTGGTGGCTCACAAAACCAACATTTGTAAGCCCACAGCATCGTCATACTCTCTCCATTGTATGTTACAGTCCCTTGGTCATTCCTGGTTCCACTGTTTCTCATATCACTGTGACTTGGATCATACTTTCAGAGTCACATCTCACACTTTTCCACGGTGTATCAACTTTACTGTGTAACACTGGATCAAGGGGTGTCACTTTATACATAATGGGAGGCTAGGACACTACACAGAGTGGGACAGCCCCAATATGCCTTTGGGGTCATACTCGATCACAGTTTCCCAATTACCACACAGGGTCCAGGGTCATCAATCAAAGTTCTCAAAGTGACTCCCCATCTCACGCCTCAGTCTCACCATGTGAATGTGAGTATGGAGACACACGGAGAGTGACAGGGCTGGAGTCACATTCTGCCACAGAGTCATTTCCCACCCTGGACCACTGTGTCTCACGCTGTGACAGCCTCTCCCTCTCCTGTCGCCCCACCTTCCCGTCCTCACCTGGTCAGGTCCCTGAGCCGCGCCTCCTCCCCGCGCAGGTAGCGCCGCAGCAGCGCCAGCAGCCGGCGCTCGGGCGCCAGGGCGCGCGCCACGCTCGTCAGGGCCGAGAACGTGTCCCCCAGCGCCGCGGGCCCCGCTGGACCTCCGGGCCCGAGCGCCAGCAGCGCGGCCAGCAGCGCGGCCAGCAGAGCCGCGAGCCCCATGGCCCGCGCACGCTCGCGTCCCCTCCGCAACCCGCCCCACGCGGCCCGGCCCGCCCCATCTCTCGGCCTCGCCCCGCCCCGCTAGCCCCCCAGCGCCACGCCCTCCTCAGGCGCCGCCCTCCTGCCTCCCAGCTCTTCAAGTTGCTGGTGATTTGCCTGGCGCGCGCTTCACGCAATCACAGCCCCAGAAGGGCGTTTCACCTATGCTTATTTCGCATGTGAGGAAACTGAGGCAAGCGTGGGCCTTGAATTCATTGGAATGAAGCTAATATAAAGGAGTTCTGATAACAGTAGTTAAAGCATTAATTTGGTAAGGGAACAGGTGGTGATTCAACCACCAGCAGCTCCACTGGAGAAGGTTGCAGTAGTCTACCCAACAGCTCTGCAGTTCTAATGCACCTGCTGCTCTGTGGGAGAAAGAAGGCAATCTCCTTCTGTGTGTTTTACTGCCTCTAAAAAGCTACTGGAGGGTCAGCTATGAGGAAGTTCCGACGTAACAACACCACCACCCTACAAGAGAGAAGTTTGCTGGCCTGTGATTAAGGAGTTGATCTACCAACCCAGTCAGGCAGGTGGAATCCAGTAGCTGCCCTGTGGGAGCAAGGTAAGGTAGTTTGCTCCTGTGCGATCTGCAGCCTCTGAACACCCGTTGAAGGAGAGCTGTGAGTCACTTCTACATCAAGGGCAACAAGTTGGCTGTTGAGTTACTCCTAGAGCTGTTCCACACATCTTTATTATGATTAGTTGTTGTTGTTAGGTGCTTGCCATGTCGACTACAACTCATAGCGATCCTATGAACATCAAATCAGAACCTTGCCCTAACCTACGTTTTTCTGTCAATATCCAACGTGCTTGCCTGAAATTCCAGTCACTGTGTCAATCTTCTTGAGGGTCTTCCCCTCTTTCTCTGACCTATTATCTTTCCCAGCACGGTGCCTTTTTCTGAGGACTAATATCTCCTGACAGCATGCCTAAAATAAGTGAAACAAATCTTAGCCTTCCTAGTCGCTAGGAGCACTCCGGTTGCACTTCCTCAAGACAGACTTGTTTGTTATTTTGACAGTTCATGAGATCTTCAGTCCTTTCCTCCAATACCACAATACAAAGTCATCAATTCTTCTTCTATCATGCTTATTCAATGTATAACTTTCAGATGCATAGCAAGTAACTGAAAAGACAATGCCTTGGATCAGGCATTTTAATCTTTAAATTGATATCCTTGTCTTTAGCACTTTGGAGAAATCCTTAACAGCAGATTTTCCCAATGCAACATGTCTTTTGGTTTCTTGACTGCTGTTGCCATGAGGTTAATTGTGGATCCAAGTGAAATGAAATTGTTGGCAAATTCAGCCTTTTCTCCATCTGTCATGATGTTGACTATTGGTCCAGTAGCGAGGATTTTTGTTTTCTTGATGTTGAGATGTAATCCAGATGGAAGGCTGTGGACTTTGACCTTTGGCAATAATTGCTTCAAGTCCTCTTCACTTTCTGCAAGCAAGGTTGTGTCAGCTGCACATTGCAGGTGTTGATGAGTCTTCTTTAAATCCTGATGCCACATTCCTCTTGCATTATTTGCTCAGCATACGGATGGAATTTTGCTGTTAGGTGCTGTCAAGTTGGCTGTGACTCAGTAATCCTGTGAATAGGAGATCAGGACCTTGCTCTATTCTGCACCATCTTCAAGTGACCTCCGGCCTCATTCCTATTACCAAGACCATATTTTACAACAACTAATCCTTTGATTCCAATGTTTATATTACAATCACCAGCTATTATTATCAATGCATCTTGACTGCATGTTTGATCAATTTCAGATGGGAGAAGTTGGTAGAAATTATCAATTTCTTTATCTTTTACTTAAGGGATCAGCATCTAAATATGACTAAATAGTTAAGCTAACAGATCTCCTTATGTGCCTTTGGATATTATCCTATTCCCTGACAGTGTTGTGCTTCAGGGTAGAGTTTAAAGTGTTCTTTTTCATGATGAATGTAATACAATTTCTCTTCCATTTGTCATTCATGGCATGGTAGACCAGTCCGTTTCATCTCACTAATGCCTGGGAAGCCAATCTTCATGCATGTCATTTTATTCTTGATAAATTCCCAATTTTCCAGGATGCAGGTTATTAATGAACATTTGCAGCTGTTTCTTCTTCTTTAGAACCATGCCTCATTAGTAAGGTATAATCTTTCACTGGGTGGAAATTTTACTCTAGACATGTCATTACTGTAGACCCTGAGGTGACAGCTCTTCCCACGTGGTATTTTCATTCCTTTCAACCTGAAGAGTTCATCCTCTAGCACTGTAGCAGCTAATGCTCTGTTGGCATTCATAAGGTTTTCTTTCACTGGTGAAATGTTTTGTAAGCGGCCTTCTTCCTATCTTAGTCTAGAAGCTCCACTGAAACCAGTCCACCATGGCTGACTCTGCTGGTGTTTGAAATACTAAAGGCATAGCTTCTAGCATCACAGTATTATGCAAGACACCACAGTATGACAAACTAACAGAAGATCCCTGGACAGTTGGATAGAGATGCTAATAATTTGGTTTTGCAAACAGGTGCAAGCTTGCTCCAGTTTGTCATTGTTTCTGGTGGACATGGAGATGTGCCTATCAGATCCCCATTTAAAGGATAGTGTGCTACACACACAAAGCTGTAGAGAATTGGTCAGAAGAGTCCAGCTGTCTAGTTTCTTGAGTGTCTAACTTGGAGCAGAGAGCAAACTTTCCCTAGGGCATGTTCTGCCCATGCAGCACTCATCTCTTGACTAAGTGGTTTAAGAGAATAAAGACGCAGCCATTTAGGTTCAGCAAGAGACAACTCTGACTAGGTCTGGCTAGTATTCCTGTTACCTTGATCAGGCCTCCTAGACTTGGTTCTCTGCTCTTACGTATTTCACCTCCTTCCTTTTCATAAACATTAATCCTTAATGAACATGTTGTACCCCAAAACTTCCTCTCAACATCTGTTTCTGGAAATCTTAATTTGTAATACCACACAATCAACAAAAATGGCTATTAACTGGTAGAACAGGGAACTGAACTCAGGTAGTATGGCTTTAAATTCCATGTTCTTAGTCATGACTAGAAGAAGATTTACCATGAAGCTTTTGAAATTTAAGTTTCAAGTCCCCTAATTTAACAAGTCTTTTTAATAGCCCTTGACAGAGTGAAGTTGAGGCAAGATTGGTTATGCATTCAAATGGTCATATATATTTGGAAAATTTGTGACAGTTGTTTTAACAATAATTTGCTACTAGGAAAAAAAATATTCCCCCCCCCAAACCTCCCCTAAAGTTTCCAGAAGGAAAACAACCTGACAGACATCTTTTTTCTTTAATTGCCATTCCCTACCACTCCTCCCTGAGAGAATTTCACCCTGGTTTATAAGGAAAAGGGGACGGCGTATTCTCTTAGCTACTTCCTGCTGAAAAGGGACGCTGTAGGTTTCAGGGTGAAGATCTTCTCTCACTATTCTAAAGGGCCCCTTTGGCAATAGGAAACACATAGACTAGTGTGGAGACTGATTTTGGAATTTGGATGCACTGTTATCAATTGTGCTTAGCCGTACATGTTCATATCCTTGAAGATGCATCATGCAGACATCTTGAGTGTAACCCAGTGAAACTCATTTCAAACTTTACTTCAGAGATGCAAAATAATAGTTATATTTTTTAAGCCACTAAATTTATGCTAATAATAAAGAATAAATGTATCCAAAGGCATCTTTTCGTTTTGCATTGTCTCTGTCCCATGTATCTTGAGCTGGCAATGCTTCTGATTGATATATCTTAAAATGATTGCGGATTTCCTATGAATTGTATTGGAGTTCACTCCATTAGACAAAACCTTCATTTATATTTCTTTCCAAGACTTGCCTTTCTCTAACTTGGACTGGGAATTAGTATGGTGTACTACAATAGCTTTGAGTTTCTTGGAAACCTTGTTTTTCTATTTAAATAGCATACCTAATAAAGCATACCCTAGATTCCCAAAGAACTCTCTTACCTAGCAGATATTCTTTGCCATTGAGTCAGAACTAACTCCTAGCTGATTTTCTAGGATTTCTATGATTTTGTAAATCATACAGGAGCTGCTCATCATTCTTTCACGGAGCAAGTGGTGGATTCAAATCACCTGCCTTCGAATTGGAAGTGTAACTTCCTACTACTAAGCCAATAGAACTCTTCTATTCTTGCCTATTGCTGTCATGTTGTGTACTGGTCAAGGCAGAGCTGACTCATGGCTGACCCTCTGAGGTTTTCTGAGGCAATAAATAGCACAGGAGCAGATTGCCTATTCTCCCATGGAGCAACCTGGTGGATTTGAACCACATACCCTTGGACTAGCAGTGCAACTCCATAGCCCTAGACAACCAGAGATCCCTCTACTATTGCCTAAGTACTTCTATATCCTTATGTGTTCTTAAATGCGTAAGATATTTATAATATAAACCCAAATACTTTGAATATACTTCTCTTTCTCATTTGTCATATTGATAACCTCTAGGCCACCATAGCGCCCTCTGCCCAGCACGGAGAGTTTAAAAGGCACAGCCTGAGGATTCTTAGAAGTTCCCCTAGGCAAGCACTTAAATATTCCTAAAATGTCACCCAAGGGTCTTCCAGCCACACCCTTTAGTAACTTTATTGCATAGACCATCTTAACCAAGTAATGAATCTTAAAATCCACAAGCAACAATATTCCTTGAATTTGTTCTTTACCATTACTTATTTCTTCATTTCAGAAACTTTTGCTTGTTGAAAAGACTATCCTGGGGTTTTTATATATTCCTCTAAATTGTGCTTGGAAATAATAGTTTCTTCTGTGATTCATCTCTTCTTTTTTATATGCACTGGTTGTTGTTGTTGTTGTTAAGTGCTATCTAGTCGTATGCAACTCATAGTGACCCTATGAATGAAAGACCTAAACACTTGTATAACTTACATCGTTTCTCCAGGTTCATAGAGTTTCCAGAGGCTAGCTATTTTGGAAGTGGGTGCCACTTCTGTTTCCAAGTTTGTTTTAATCAGGGAGCTCCAGCAAACACTGTCC